TTTTTTAAGTGGCACTCTTTTTTTTTTTAAACAGTTTGCATATGAACCATGCCCAACTTTCTCAAAAATGAGTACCTAATGTTAGTCAATAATTAGGTCAATGGAAGTTATTGGGAATTTGGATCTTCTGAAAAACCAGATGAGCTAGAGACAGCTGCCTGGCATCAGCCCCCAAGACTTATGGGCAGAACAAAAATTTAAGTGCTTCTTGAGCCAAAGACAATCAGTTCTGAAGAAGTTAGAAAAGAACAGTGAGGACTGACGAAATACTACAATAAGCATGCCAAACTGTTCAATTACAAATGCAAGAGAATGTTAGATTTCAAAGTGAAAGCAGGTAGGGTGACCAGACGTCCCGATTTTATCAGGACTGTCCCGATATTTGCTTGTTTGTCCCGCGTCCCGACCGATGTGCGGTCAGGACACTGGACAAACAAGCAGTTTTGCCCTCCCGGAAGGGCTCTTGCCCCCCCACCCCGACTCTGCCCCCTCCATCCCCCATTGGCTCCCTCCCCAAATCCCCACCCTGGCCCCACCTCTTCCCCATGCATGTGGCATTCCTCCTCCCTCCCAGGCTTGCTGCTGTAATGGCGGGGCAAGCCTGGAGGGAGGGGGTGGTGGCCGGCTTCCAGTTCCTGGAGCTGGTGAGTAGGGGCACTGGGCGGGCAAGGGGACTGCTCCCCCAGGAGGTAGATCCTGTCAGTGATCTGGTTACCCTAAAAGCAGCCAGCAAACTGCCAAAGTAACAGCTATTCTATCTACACCAAGGTCCTAAATCAAGGGTGAGCAAACTACAGCCTGGGGGCCGCATCCAGCCCTCCAGACGTTTTAATTTGGCCCTCAAACTCCAGCCAGGGAGCGGGGTCAGGGGCTTGCCCTGCTCTGTGCAGCTCCCAGAGCAGTGGCATGTCCCCCCCTCTGGCTCCTACGCGTAGGGGCAGCCAAGGGGCTCCGCACGCTGCTCCTGCCCCAAGCGCCACCCTCGCAGCTCCTATTGGCCGGGAACCGCAGCCAATGAGAACTGCAGGGGTGGCACCTGCAGACAGGTCAGCACACAGAGCCGCCTGGTCACGGCTCCGCATAGGAGCCAGAGGGAGGACATGCTGCTGCTTCTGGGAGCTGCTTGAGGTAAGTGTCGCCTGGAGCCAGCACCCCTGACCCACTCCACCACCTCAACCCCCTGCCCCAGCCCCGATCCCCCTCCCGTGCTTCGAACCCCTCGGTCCCAGTCCGAAGCACCCTCCTGCACCTCCAACCCCTCATCTCCAGCCCCACCCGAGAGCCCGCATCCCCAGCCGGAGCCCTCACCCCTCCCACACCCCAGCCCCCAATGTTGTGTGCATTCATGGCCCACCATACAATTTCCATACCCAGATGTGGCCCTTGGGCCAAAAAGTTTGCCCACCCCGGTCCTAAATCATCTGCCATCCTTGAGGCTCATTCCTACTGGAAGAACCAAAAACCATCTATCTAAAACCATGGAAGATGCTACCTCTTATCTCTAGATGAAATCTAGAAAAATCATAGTGTTTTCTTGATGTGAGAAGTTTACATATGCCCCCAAATACCCCACCACATCTGACAATGAAAAATGCCAGGAGCAGCAAACATAAGGTCCATCTAGCAGCTCCATCTCAGATCATTGCAGAAGAAAACCCGAAGAACAAGTGGTCTTGTGATCAGAAAGACACTGGTGGTTTGTTTTCTTTGCATTTGATTTTTTAAAAACACAAGATTTAGAATCAGTAAACTCCAACACCTTCATCTATCTCATGTGAGTGGAGCCATAAAAGATCAGCAGCTTTTCCAACACCATCCATGCTTTTTTGTTACACTGTAGCTACAAGGAAATCTTCCTGGGGTTAATCTTGAAAGGCCAATTGTAAACTTCAGCTATAGAAAGATGTAGCAATTATTCTCCACAATCCTACAGCATATTTAAGTACTATCCCAATTTTACAATAGGGAAAAATTATATGTAAAGAGCTTAAGAGACTTGCCCAAGGTCATACAGCAGGTCACTGACAGAGACAAGAAGAGAACCCAGGAGTTCTTGACTTGCTGTACTATTACTCCTAACCCTCAGTGCATATCAACATATTCACAGGCTGAAATATAAAATTTACTACCAAAGATTATTTGTATACTGACTCATGCACATCCAGGCTTCCACCTTATATTAAAATAACACATGTAAATGTTGCCATCCTAGCCTTCCAAAGTCCAAGGGAACTTCAGAAGATAAATAACCAATGACAACATCCGCTTAAAAGGATAAAGACTGGTTTGCACTACAGGGGACGTATGACCAAGGAACAGTCTAGTTTAATATTCAATAACCTTCTTGCCTAACGATATAAAACTATTCTGAAAGAAATTTCATTTAACATCTATTTTTATAGTACAGTATCCACGTGATTTCTTTTGGGAACACTACTCAGATAATCTGGACTCTACGTTAATTATGTGAGAGGCAGAGAGAGCTTCTGTTTGTTTGCTATTCCAAGCATTCCAGGAGGTTATAAACCGAGGCCAGCGTTAGGATTACAGCAGGGTTCCTCCGTGCCAGTAACCCAGAAAGAAACCCAACCCCGCAGCTGCGAGAGGAAATTCCCTCCACTCCCCTGCCAGCCACGCTGAGCTAATCCACTCACGCCTCGGTCTCCGGAGGGACGCAGCGCAGCCACTCAGGCTCCAGTATGACACCCCCGCCCCCCGCACGGGGCTCACGGAGGGTTTAAAACGCGCAGCCAGCGGCGCGGACAGACACGTTTGCGGAGCTAAGGACAAGAGGATTCTGCGCCCTGTCCCCCTCCCTGGCCCACGCGTGTCCTCAGGCAGCCGCCACCGTCCCTCTCGTGTGCCATGAAATCGCTCCCCGCACCACAGCGCCACGCCGCCCCCTGGCACCCTGCCTCCCCCACCCCCCGCGCAGCGAATGAGGGCAGGTCACCGCCGGGGACCGGGGCAGGGCGGGCTGAGCAGCTGCGCGCCCCCCGCCTCCTCCCACCTGCAGCAGCACCAGGAAGGCGGTGAGGCGCTTCTGGCTCCGGCCGAACTCCCCCACCGAGCCGAACGCCTCGTCCAGCTCCATGGCCCCGCGGCATCCCCGCCACCAGGCGCGACCGCGGCGCCCTCTGGCGGCAGGAAAAGCCTCAGCGCGCAGGGGAGGGAAGGGAAGAGGCGGTGAGCGCGGCCCTGCCAGTCACCAACGGTCTCCCCGTGCGCGAGGCTGAAGCGCCGCCCCCCGGGTGGGTGGGAGCGTCCGCCCAGCGGCTCAGGCGAGGAAGTTGTATCTCCCTCGGGCCAGGCCCGGTGGGAGGCAGCGTCTGCGGAGAGTAACCAGATAGCGTGAAAGATCGGGGTGGGGTAATAGGTGCCTAGATAAGAAAAAGCCCCAAATATTGGGACTGTCCCTATAAAATCAGGGCACCTGGTCACCGTACATGTCCCAAACAGCAGGGGCAGAGCCTGGGGATCTCCCGAAGCACATGGCCTGAGAAACAGTAACTTGGAAAGCAAAACAGTAGTGAGGCCATAACAGAAATTCCAGAGTGGGGCAGAGGAGTTGAAGGCTCTGCCTACGTCTACACTGCAGTGTAAGCCCAGGGTTGGAACTGAAGCCTACTCTCTTTCCATCCATGCTAACCTAGGGCTCAGGCCCTTGGTCCCACAGGAATGGAGAATCCACACCTGAGTCAAGCCGGGACTCAGGCTTCAAACCCTGTTGTTTCACAGGCAGTGAAGATGCAGCTCCATTAGAATTGTACTTTAGGATTTTACCAAAAGTATCCCACAGGCTGACTTCCTTTGTCTTCTCCAGAGGCAAGTTTGGTGGACAGTTGGGTTTTCCATACTGCACCACAAACAAAGGGCTAGAGTGGCCATATTTTTGAGGGCACTAAGCAGTCTGGGATATGGATGGGTGGACCTGGGCTTGCATAATACAGTATAGATGTTGGAGCCCTAGGTTGGGACCCAGGGTTCAACAGTTCCTAGCCTGGGGTAACAAATGAGTGTAGACACTTAAGCCTTTACTTAACAAACCCAGTGTCTGTTAACTCAAGTTCAGCTAACCCTGGGCTTACATTGTAGTGCAGACATCTGCTCTGAGTAGGGGGACCAGATAGCAACTGTGAAAAAAATGGGACAGGGTGGGGGGTTAATAGGCGCCTATATAAAAGAAGTCCCAAAAAACAGGACTGTCCCTTTTAAAAATGGGACATCTGGCCACCCTAGCTCTGAGACTCACTAGAAACCATGTTACAGCAACTGTGGGTGGAGCTCAGATACCACAGCAGTGGGTTCCAGTATAAAATAAACCCTAGCATAGATTTAGAGGAATTCTACAAATGGCAGCCAGCATGCTGAAAATCACACTTTCTCTCCTGAATTAGAATGTATGACTGATGTAGCCATTGTCCAGATTAGCCTCAGCTTCCTTTCCTTCTATGACGGTATTCTTTTCCCCCACTCTGAAAAGACACACAGAGTTGGCATCTGGCCCAGTTACCATGGGTGATCTTGAATTTGAGTTTTATTTTAGTCCAGCCTCATAGCACAACAATGAGATACCCTAACCTCACAAAATTGCCATCACACAGCTTACTTGTGGAGGTCTGCAACTCCCATGGTACGGGGAGATTTTGGCAAACCAGTAAAGTGCCTGAAACTACTATTACTTATTGCTAAAAGCAGCCAAGTCAGCAGGCTATAAAGTGGCCATGCAGCAGGCTTAGCTTAACCAAGGCAGGAAGGGAGGGGGTTTTGGGTGTCACAGAAAGAGCAGCTTGACCCCCACATCCTTCTTGATAAGAATTGTGTTGAAGTTGCTGATACATACATTTTAGGGGCCTCAAGGCTGCAAACTTTGGGGAAAAAACACACCTGGTTAATCAATAATCAGAAGAAAACCTCTTGCTTGACCGTTGAAACAGCTTGCTTAACAAGTTTTCTTTAAGTGACATGTCGTATTACTAAAGTACAAATAAGGGGGGAAAGTTTGAGGTAGTTGGACTCTCTCTCCCCCTTGTGTTCCCCATCGGCAGACGGGCTGCCACACGAGAGCCACACGCAGCTTTGGTAATTATCAAGGGTTGGGAGTGTTTTTTACTAACCTGTTGCGGACGTGTGTAAGTGCTTGAGACTAAGTAAAGTTTAGCTTTTTATGTTGTCCTGTTTGTGCCAGACATCTATCGGTCGGACAGCCGTGTCTCCCCTGATTTATTTCCTGACACCACCTCGCACAGAGTAAAAGTTACCAAGAGCTTTGGGTTCAAAGAACCCTGGGTAACACCATCTGTAGCAGAAGCATTTTGAGAGGTAAGGAAAGATTTCAGCAGCAGTCTCTTCACCGGGCAGACCCATTCTTACTACTCTGTGCTCCTCTGGTGGAGGGGCCTATGTGGGTAGCACCTCTTCACCAACAAAGTCTATTTCCAAATGTCCTATTACAGTATTTTTTTCTCTTGATATCACTGCTGCTTCTCTGATGCTCCCATTTGTATCTTTTGCCACTAATTTCTGTTGCTCCCAGACCCAGTCTAACTTCCCTTAAAGTATCATAGTCCCACCAACTACAATAGAGTTGGATCAGAATCTTAGGGCTCGTCTACACTGGCAATGTACAGAGCTGCAACTTTCTGGCTCAGGGGTGTGAAAAAACACCCCCTGAGCACAGCAAGTTTCAGCACTGTAAAGCACCAGTGTAAACAGTGCACCCAGCGCTGAGAGCTACGCCACTCGGGGAGGTGGTTTTTTTAGAGCGCTGGGAGAGAGCTCTCTTCCAGCACTGTGCCTCAACCACACAAATCACGTTAAAGTGCTGTCATGCTATGCACAGCTTTAGAGAGTTCCTCCACAATTATAGTGTCTGTTAAAATGCTTATTTTTTTTTTAAATACATCTTCTGTAAATTGTACATACACTATGTAGATGGCTAATTTGGAGGTCACTTAAGATTTGTTGACCCTTCATTTTACATATTGACAAACTCTTCACCTTAATTATTGATACTGAGAGTCAATAAATTATTATGGTCTCAAGAGAAGTAAATAACATGTAGAATTCCCATCATGTGGGAGGAGATACATAGTTAATCGGCTATTTGATTTCTTATTAGTAATGCTTCCTAAAATTCTCCTTTGTAGGTCCTGTCAGGTCTGTTTTTCCAGGTTTCAAGCCACAAGAGATCCTGGGTAGTACTTGGCCAGAGCTCAGGGTAGCGGTCTGCTCCCTTCCATTGCCTGCCCTTTTTTGTACTGCTCTACTTCCCCTTTTAAGTCCCATCTTCAGTTTGTACAGACTCAAAAGCAAAAAGGTGATTACTTTCAAAAATGAATTATGGTGCCATGGAAGGAACAGTGCCTATTTTCCCACATCTCTAAAGTTACTTTCCTTTGTAATGTGCTTTGAGTTCTATAGATGAAAAGAGCCAAGTATTTCAGTAGTGGGATGTTAACTGATGCATAGGAGGGTCTTTCACCTTCCATATTCATGGAAACAGAATTGCAGAATCTGACTGGCTGAGTGAATGTAGAATTCCCATATTTTGCTTGGGAGAGGGGAAATGCAATCCAATCCTCTTCTGCTCCCCTAGCCCTCTGCACCCTCCCAGTTCCTTGCAGATCTAAATCCAGTGATCCCAGCTGTAATTTGTAGGTAAGAAAAAGAAAGTAACAAGGAGTCTGGTGGCACCTTAAAGACTAACAGATTTATTTGGGCATAAGCTTTCGTGAGTAAAAACCTCACTTCTTCAGATGCAAAAGAAAGTAGTTTGTTGGGAACAGAACCGTTGTTCTGAAGCGCACACTGATATTGTTGCACCTTATCAGCCACACTGAGCCCATCTTCTTCTCTGTACATAGTACTTCCTTAACCAGTTGCAGCATGTGATGGCAGCACAATATTGGGAAAGACACTAAACAATTGAAGGGGCAGAACATTGATAAGAAGAGAGATTCATAGATTCCAAAACCAAAAGAGACCATTGTGATCTAGACTGACCTCCTGTATAACAGGGGCCCTAGAACTTCCCCAAAGTAAGTTCTAGAGCCAGAGCTGTCATGTCCCTAGGGTAGACCAGGGCAACCATCACAGGCCCCATGCTTCAGGGAGACGTGGGCGGGGATACGACAGGGCAGCCCAGGGGCCTAGTGAGGGGCCTTCTGCCAGCAGCAGGGGTTGGGCCCACACCCTGCACTCACCAGCCCGAGCGTTTATTTCTTTTTCTTGCCCGCAGCCCCTTGGGCTCAGTCTCTGTGGGAGCAGCAGCGAGCAGCCTAGCCCCAGCCCGCTCCGCTCCGCTCCACCAGCTCCAAGCATCACCTGCCACTGCAGGGTCCTAGTGCCCCCCAACCACTAGTGCCAGGGTAGGCTGACCCTGACCCTTCCCTTCTGCCTCAGACAGGCCCTTCCTTTTCCAGCAGGATCCTCCCCCAGCACAGAGGGCACCCTAGCACATGTGAGTGCCAGCCAGTAGTCTCCATCATCTGTAGCCCATTGGTGTCCACCCCAGTGCCCCACACCTCCCTCTTCCACTGCCCTTTCTCCCCTCTCCCAGCACTGGGTGGGGTCCTCCACTGTCACCTCCAGGCCAAGGCCAGCCCTTATCACTCCCCTGCCTCAGGGTCCTCCTTGCTTTTCCACTCTCCAGCCTTGGGGTTCCCCTCCCTGCAGTACCAGGGCCTGGGGTCCCAAAACTCTGCTCTCTTCACCACCCACCAGGATTGGGGTCCTCCATCCATCTGCTTTTCTGCCTCCCTCACCCTCCCAGCCCCCAGAGAAAACAGATCTTAGAGCCCCTCCTCCATGCTGGAGGGTCCTGTTTATGTATCATCTAGTTCTTTCACAATACTATAATTTCGAGTTGCAACATGACATGGAGAATGTCTGAATGGGAACAAAAAACAGCTTTGCTAATGTGTTTGTATGTATATATAAACATTTGTTAATATTAGGTTTGGTACACAAAGTTATTTTAAACAACCTACAATATATATGGAGACTAGACTACCTGTGAATTTTTAACTGACATCCTTCCAAAGATATTGGTAGCAATCTTAGGGGAAGGTGATTTATGCACCTCATTGAGTAGGGCATATTAGGGACTCTCCACGTTACACACCAACCTGCCAATTTCAGAGCCATCCCTAATTCCCCCTTTCTAGTCCCATCTGACTGATGCCAGCCGGCTGGGATCAGTTCCCTAACTATCCTGCTTAGAAAGTTGTGGTGATGCCTAGCCATAGACTGGGAAGTCAAGAGGTGCCAAGAGCCTCTCCAACACCAGAGAGGTTCAGCAGTTTCTAGCCATCACGAGGAGGCCAAGGATGAGTACACTGAGCTGGTGTACCTGGGAGATACTGCATTGGCACCTCAAGTGCATCATACAGACACCGCTGAATGAGGGATGGGGAGAGCCAGGTCATAGGGAGCATGAGAGCAATTGGAGCCCCACATAGGTCTCTTCACCCAGAGACCCCAGAGCCCAGCCTGACAGCAGCTGGAGAACCCAGGAACCCTGTGCCTGGGTTGACAGAGGTGCTTCCACAAGTGCAAAGCTAGCTTGGCTGCAAAGTACCAGGCTGTCTGTGTACTGAGCCAAGCAGGGAAACGCCCCTTGACCGCACCGCTGGCCAGACTGCTATGTTTCTCAGAGACTCCTTAAGGTATAATGGTCCTGTGTGTACAGCAAGTGGCCTCTTTCCCCAGAGGCTCCAGATGCATGGCTCGAGCTGCCTACCTGCAGCTGGAACCGAGCAGGGCCAGACAAAGCTCAACTTGCTCAACTCCCCACGTGCCAACAGGCCTGGCCTCTCAGAGCCATGGCAGGGGCAGCACAGGAGGAAATGTGCTATAGCTGCATCCCAGCGCCGCTTCCCACCAGACAACTGCAGCCATAAAAGCTGCCTGGGGAAAGTGAGGTTGGGGCACTGCCTGGAGTCACCTAGCTCTTCATGTGCCTCCTTATACCCTAGTATGTGAGGGAGAGGCGTATGCTGTCCGAGGAAGTTGGCAGATCTGTGACTTCTGAATTTGCATGTAAAATTATGGGATAGGAAATAAAACTTGGGGGGCAAGTGCCCCCCTCCACAAATGGTGCTCCTGCATAAAAGCAGCTTCAAAAGAAAAAGGAGTAGGAATGAAAGGCTTTAAATGTTAGTTAAAATGACATGTTTAATTTAAAAAAATGCACCTGAATATCCTAATTGATAGAATATCTGGGTAGACTTGCAGTTTTCAAAAAAACAAAAAACCTGATATTTCGTCATCAGATAGTACATTCATTTTGTTTACACACTTAATGATGTTTTACCTATTTCAAGTCAATGTTAATGGAACAACAAGCTTTTATGCACACAATAGCTTCCTGTCTCTCTCAAATCAGGCACTCCAAAAATATTTAGTGACAATTTAACCACACATCAAACATTCTTTAAGGAGCTCCCTACAGTTAGTGTGCTGTTTCAGATGAGGAATTTATAATAAAGTACAAAACAAGTTAGTTTCTAGTAAGTCTGCAATTTATTTTACATTGTTTTAAAAAGTCATACTTATGGTAGTTACATACACACTGCATCCTGCTCAGAAAGTAGCATTTACAAAAGAATTTCAAGAGAAGTGGATACAAAATGTTTAAAAAGCTCTCTAAAATACAAATATGTAAACAAGTTGACAGTAATTTAATATTACAATAAGAAAAGTTAAAGCTTTTATTTCATAATTTTTAAAGCTACTATCTTTAGTCTCAATGCAGACTAATTTTGGGGTTCTTGTAGCATTGCAGAATGCGAGTTCTTGAAAGTGTTACAATATTCCCTTCACAAACATCCATCCTTTACAGAAAAAATATTTTCAAAAAATACTGAAGTCCTAACTGATAAAATCAACATAAAAAATATAAATTGCATCATCATGAATTCACTGCTAAATACTTTAACACTTACTTTGTCGTTCTATAAACCACATTTTTCAGTTTTTCCTATAGTGCTCATCAACTTAAGTTCATTAATGTCTGAGGTGTTCAAGATAATATCAGATCACCTGAGAGGCAGGGAAGTAACTGAAATAAAATGGTCAAC